GGCAGAGCTGGGATTTGACACATTTACTTCTGAGTCCCAGCTCTTAGCGGGTACATCATGCTGCCTCTTGTGAGAGCAAAGCTTTACATTTATAAAGTCAGCTCCCGTGATCACTCTCTCAGCTAAACATTCCCGTGCTTTTGACCACTGCTTGTGACGGATCTAGGGATGGGCCCATGGCCCATGTAGGATGACAGGGACATACAAGCAGGCAACCAAATGATACTAGGGAAGATTTTCTTTCCTGATAGAGAGAGAACACTGTGGGAAGAAGGTCCCTTCCATTCCCTTCCTTTCTTCCTGTGTCAGACTCAGTTGGGTGGGGACAGTCCTCAGGGTGGTGGCTGTCCTTGGACAGGGGCACACAGGAGGAGAAGCCTGTAGCTGTGCTAGCCGGGTATCCTGCTATCACTGCACTGCTGCCCCTGGAGACCTTTCTCCTGACTGTTTCTCAGAGGAGATAATTGAACGTCTTTGGAGTGATGGTTCTCAAACTGGAGTGTGCCCCAGACTCACCCAGAGGGCTCATCACACACAGGGTGCTGGGCCCCAGGTCCTAGGGCTCTGATCCGGAGGGGAGCTGGGATAGAGCCTGGGAATCTGAATTTCAAACAAGACTCCAGCTGAGGCTGCTGGTGTGGGGCCACACTCAGAAACACTGGGTTAGAGGCTGGGCGCAGTGGCTCACACCTGTAAACTCAGCACTCTGTAGGGCCGAGGCGGGTGGATTGCCTGAGTTCAGGAGTTCCAGACCAACCTGAGCTAGAGTGAGACCACATCTCTAAAAAACAGCTGGGCACTGTGGCAGCACCTGTCATCCCAACTACCAGGGAGGCTGAGGTAAGAGAATGGCTTTGAGCCCAAGCATTTGAATTATTGCCATGAGCTATGATGCCACGTGACAAAGACTCTGTCTCAAAAAAAGAAAGAAAAAAAAAATAAAGAAACGCAGTGTTAGAGCTAAAAAGAGCAGCAGTCACCGTTTCTGTTACCTGTAGCCCACAGCATCCCAACCCAGGGGGCTCTGGGCCACGATGGACACCCAAAGCTTCCCAAGCAGTATAAACAGTCTCCCTTATCTGGGCACCCTCTTTGAGAACGTTCTCCCTTCCGCTGCCACGATAAATTCCCATTTTATACATGAGAAGTTTGAGGCTCAGAGAGGCAGAGTGCCTTGCCTGAAGTCCCATGGCTGGAGGCGGAGGCATCCAGGGACTTCCCAGTAGCCTCTTGGGACCCTCACCACCAAGGCTGGCCCTGTCCTCCAGAGACCAGGGGCTTTACCTGCTGCCCCTTACAGAGCTCACACACCACTCTGACGAGTCTAAGGACAGAGTCTAAATGGGGCCTTTCCAAGAGGACCCCCACATCTGTCCCCTCCCCTGTCGGACACCATCTCTGCTGAGAACCGCTCGTCCAAAGCTGAACCTCAACTTGTTCATTTCCTTTCCCCAGAGGCCTGCACCCTCCTGGCTGTGCTGGCCACCCCTGACCCATTCACTCCGAGGGACTCACACACTCCGAGGCTCACGCACCTGTCTCCCGAGCATACTCTGTGCCAGGTCTGTTCTCATTATCCACCTGTCCACCTGCAACCTTTAGTCATCATGAACCTTAGAAAAATATTTTTTTCTAATAGTGATGAACCGTGCAATTTGTGCAATCCTATTCTGATCGCTTCCTTACTGTAGTCCCACAAAGCGAGCCCTCATTTGAATGTAGGGCCATGAAGGAGGGAATGAAGGTTAAGGGCATCCCGAGGGTGGCAAGAAGATGACCACCTGCAAACATAAGGAGAGAGACCTCAGGGGAAACCAAGGCTGCTGGACCCTGACCTTGAACTCCCAGCCTCCAGAACCGAGAGAAATAAACTTCCTTGATTAAGCCACACCTGGCCTGTGGCGTTTGATTATGGAGAAGACTGGGGCAGAATGAACTTGAGCCCATCACCAACTTGGGGGTGGGGATGGACTTTGTGAGAAGCGCAGAGTTTTGGGCCCGCAAAAAATGACTTTCTAATGGGAACGCGCATCTCGGCAAGCTCACACTGACACCTCTTCTTGCTGACAGGGTGGCGGGGTCTCTACGAGCTCCAGGTGGCCATGGAGTAAGTCACACCCCAGTGCCTATGTGACGCCCCAGCAGAAACGCCACCCCCAAGATAACTAAGGGCCTGCAAGACAGTTTAAAGTTTTATTTCACACGTTGTTCAGAATTGTCCGTAAAAGACGTCACCGAAACATTTTAGAAATCAAACCAGTTTTATTGAAATGATTGCAGCAACGTGGCCCCCATTCACACAAAGCACAAAAAACATTTACAGTAACTGTCTGTACACGGGAAGGAGCAAATACATCATTTTTCATAGAAAAAAGCACACACGTAAACTGCGGGCTGGGTGAGCCTACAGACAATATGAAAAGTCAGCACACACTTGGGAACACGTGAGGCCAAGCTCCAAAGGAAGCCAAAACTTTGCATTTGGGGGGCAGGAGATCCAGTGAGGGTGGAGGGATCATCTCCTCAAACCTGGGTGAGGTGCCCACAGTGCGGGCCCAGTAAGCACGTGACATCAGAGGCGGTCCCTGATCACAAGGGGTGTTTTTGTAACCCTTGTTTGTACTCCTTAAAATGTGTGGTCTTACATTCATTTTCTCAAGCAAAATGGTTCCAGTTGCAGAATGTTTACTGGGTGAAGCAGACAGGCAGACTCTGCTCTAGGCCTTTCTATCCTGTCGCGAGGGCCTGGTCAAGGAGGTATCAGGGAATCTGGGAACTTTAGTTTTAAATGATGGAATTGACTTACGCTGGAAGTTTTCATTTTCTCTTTGGTGAGATGCTTCAGAGGCAAGCCCGCTGCAAGGCTAAACCCCCTGGGGGATGTGACATCCACAGTCACAAAATCCAGCGTCACAACACCTAGCACCTAGAAGTTTCCCAGATGTTTGGTGGCACCTAGACACACTATCTGATAGGCTAAATTCTCCCCTATCTCTGACACTTGGGGTTGAATAGTCAATACCAGCGAGTTCCTGCCAGCAGTGCACAGCTACCAGATCTTCCTGCTAATGTTAGCTCAGCCAAGCTAAGAGTTTAACTGCTTCTTACAGACTCCCTAAAGGAGCTTTTTCTTTTATTTTTTTAAAAGCTATTTAACTTCAGATTCTGCGTTAAGGAAGGAGGCACCTCTCAGGTATCCTTTTCCAGCCAACAGAATCTTAATTTTTTTTTCTTTCTGCTACTTCTTTTGCCTAAGAAATATTTTGACGGAGAATGAATCCAAACCCGAAATGAGCATTCTCAAAAGTGATATACTGGCTCATCTGGTGCTGGAGGGTAGTATTTTCACCTTCTGCAAAGAAATGCTGTTTACAAAAGGGTATTTCATTTCACTGTGGGCTCTCTGGGTCTGGGCTTAGGAAGGACTTTTATAAAGTGATGGCAGCCAGAATGCACTGCACTCCCCAGAGCTGGAGGAACGTCTGGCAAGCGTTGTTCCACAAAAACAGGAAAAGAAACCCTCCCAGTGTATTACCCTCTCTCACTGTTATTACGCTGCAGGACGGTTTCATAACCACAAACTGAGCCGCTAACCTCGGTAAGGAATGTACCAAGGAATCCATTCCTCCCACTGCTAAAAAATAGGTCAGCCGACACATGGGGAATCTGCACATTTAATCGTCATTTTTAAAAAGCAGCAGCAAAGCTGCCCTTCTCTGGCTGTTCTCCAATGCCTCGATGGAGCCTTAAGAGATCAGGAGTTAAGAAAAAGTGGGTTTCAAACAGGACCACTTGCAAAGCAAAGTCCCGGGTGTGAAGTAGGACACACAGATCATTCTGGAGTGGGGTGGGAGCCACAATGGGTAGGGGGTAAAGGAAGGATCCTGATTCATTGGTCCTCAATGGGACCAAAGGTCACTGCAGAAAATAGACGGGCCACTCAGACAAAGGGAATGACAAAGACAAGATAAATCTCTGGAGTTACCGCTGAACTCTAAATAAACCAGCACTGCTGTATATATGACCAGCCTGCACGTGGCCACCAAAATGGGACCCACAGCAGGACACCAGCAAGGACATGTGTCAGGGCAGAGCTGGGGTCTCCTATACCCTCATCCAGCCCATTTGTCTGACCAGCAAACATTAACCCCATTTTTCTCTATTGGTAGGGACGGACTGTGTTTTTTTAAATTTTTAAATAACTCCCCTCTACTCTGATCCTGAAAACCCCCCGCACTTTTCCACATACCTCTTCTCATGCACCTTAACACCTGGGGAGGGCATTGGAACCCTCTCCCACCACCTACAAAGGAGCACATGGCAATAGTCATCTCGGGCAACTGTCCCCTTTAAGAGATGGGTCAGATCCCTAAAGGAGAGAGGCCACCCGGAGGGAGACCACAGGCCTCCGCAGGACTGGACACCAGCTGTCCGGCCAAGGTCCTGAAGATGCTGTTTGTCCGTGGTGGGGGGATAGACATCACCCTCACCACAAAGGGATGATGCCGAGTGCCACTCAAAGGAAGTTTCCCGACTTGCCATGTGTCCCTCCCCCTAATGACAAAATTAAAAGCAAAACCCCGAAGCCCTCTTGAAGACACCCTTTCTCCCCTGGTGCTGCGAATTCACTGCCTGACAGCAAAGATCCGGAAGGCCTTTCCATCCCGAGGACTCCCCAAGCTGGAAAAGAAGGGAGAGTGCATGTTACTGAGAGATTGGGGGGGCTTCCCAAAGGGGCTCTTGCTGGAAAGGGCGGCCTGGGGGGAGGCCCTCTGTCCCCTGCAGTGGAAGAGCCTGGCCCAGGGCCACTCTCCTGCAGCTGCTGGGAACGGAGCCCACAGGAGGCAAGAACAGCTGGCAAATCCCTTTTTCTTTGCAAATGAGCCTCCTCAGCTTCTAGGTCAGGGTTGTTAAGTTATTTTCTTTTAACTGGGGGATTTACTGGCCCCAGTGTGTCTGAGCTGGACTCACCCTCCAAGACTTCTGCCTGGTTTTTGCTACCACCTGTCAACCCAAAGAGTAGCCATCTGGGCGACAGATTAGTGAGATAGCGCTGTAACAACAACGGGTGGGCTGAGGTCCGCTGCCTTTCTCCAGGCCTCTCCCTTTCCTGGAGCTGTCCTTAGCTTTGATCTCTGTTCCCAGAAAGGGAGCCGGGGCCCAAGACATCCCCTGACATCCTGACGGTCACATGGCTGGTTAAAAACTACCCTTTCACAACAGGATTAAATCCTTCCACTAGCTGAAGACCTTTTTTAAAAACTGCTTTATTGAGGCGTATGGTACCAAGGAAATTCACTCTTCTTAAATGCAAAGTGAATGGTTTTTAGAGATTTTCTGGGGTGGTAAGATCACTTCCACAATCTGGTTTTAGGTAACTTTGATCACCTCAAATAGATCCTTCATGCCCGTTACAATTGGTTCCCCCTCCCGCCAGCCCCTGGCAACTCCTGTGTCTGCCTGTCCTGGGCACTTCGTGTAAACGGAATCACAGGACACGTGGTCTCGTGTCCAGTTTCTCTCAGCATAACATCTGCAAGGTTCACCCATGCTGCAGTCTGGATGGGAATTTCATTCCTTTTTATGGCTGAGTAATCATCCAGGGCACGGAGGGACCACGTTTTATTTCTCCATTCCTCAGTGGATGGACATCTGGAATCTTCTCCCTTCTTGGATGTTGTAACATCCAAGTGCTTGTGGGAGTATTTGCACACAGGTTTTGGTGTGAACGTATGTTTGCCGGTCTTTTGGCCATATACTTAGAAGCAGGGTTGCTTGTTCTATTTTCTTTTTAACTGCCCAACGGGTTTCTAAAATGGGTCCACCATTTATCACTGCACCAGCAGTGCCCGAGAGTTTACCCACATGCTCAGCATCGATGGTCACGGCTGTCTTGTTACCATGGGGGTGGGAGTACAGTGGGACCCCACTGTGATTTCCTAATGAGTCCCAACACTGGGCGTATTTTCACGGGCTTGTTAGCCATTTGTATATCTGCACTGGTAAAATGTCCATTCAAATAATTTTCCTAGTTCTTTTTGAGACAGTCTCACTATATCGCCTTGGTTAGAGTGCTGTTGCATCACAGCTCACAGCAACCTCAAACTCTTGGGCTTAAGTGATTCTCTTGCCTCAGCCTCCCAAGTAGCTGGGACTACAAGCGCCCGCCACAATGCCTGGCTGTTTTTTTGTTGTTGCAATTGTCGTTGTTTTAGCAGGCCTGGGCCAGGTTCGAATCCACCAGCCCCGGTGTATGTGGCTGGTACCCTAACAACTGAGCTACAGGCACCAAGACATTTTCCTAGTTCTTAACCAGGTCCTTTGTCTTAATACTGAAAGATTTTATAAACGTATTTATACACATACTCTCTCAGGAAACCTTTATCAAACACAATATGCAAAAATGTTTTCCCAGTCTGTAGCCTGTCATTTCATTTTCTTAATGGTGTCTTTTAAGGCATAAATGTTTTATAGTTTGATAAAGCCTGATTTATTATTTTTTTCACTTATAAATTGTGTTTGGGCATTAGATCTAAGAAACCATCACCTAATGCAAGCTCATGAAAACATTATACTTTTCTTCAAAGAATTTTATAATTTTTAGCTCTTACATGTGGGACTTTGATCTATTTTGAGTTAATTTTTATATATGGTGTCAGAGAAAGGTCTGTCCTCAGTTTTGCATGTAAATCTCCAGTTGTCCCTGCACCATTTGTTGAGAAAACTATTCTTCGAATGGTCTTATCAAAAATCAATTCACTGTAATTGTGGACGTCTATTTCTGAACTTTTAATCCTGTTCTCTTGATCTATGTGTCTTCCTTATACCAGTCTCCCTGTCTTAGTTACTGTAACAGCTTTGTAGTAAATGTCAAAGGTGGGGAGCCTACGTACGTGCCCCCCCATACTGTCCCTGTAGTTAAAACCCCAGGGATGAGAGGGGAGCTGGGGGAGCCAGAGGAGGAGGGCGTATCCAGGAAAACTGGACAGTCTTTCAGTCTGCTGATTGCCCCACATTATAGCTGCACCCTCAGGCTAGCTGGCCACTGGGATTGCTACTGTGTCCACCCAGAGCAGAGCTGTGGCTGGCACAGCCCTAGCCTGGCAGGGCCACAGCTGCAGGCGAGCAGAGCGGGAGCAGCCCGGCTCCTACCACGTGTTCCGGCTGTTCTTACCCCACCTCTGAGTGTTTTTGAATAGACGCTTCTCAAGTGGTTAGACGCCTTTACAGGGTGTTGTGTTTCCAGACTCCTGAATTGGCTGTTTTTGAACACTGCTCTTGAGAAGACCATTTCCCAAGTGTCCGGCTCCACCACTCTGGACATCGCCCCTCTCTAGCATTTCTTGCTGGCTTGGGTCTGCGCTAACACTGGCCATGGGACCGTGGGCAAGTCACTAGGGCTCTTTTGACTTACAAGTGCACCTGCCTTCCAGAATAAAACGTGAAAACGCCCAGTGTTGGGGGGTACCTAGGGTTGGGACAGGCACACAGGTGGGCCTAGGAGGTGGGAAGGAAGAGCATCAGATTCAAGTTATGGAAAGCCATTGTTTGAACCAAGCTTCTGCGTTCAGCCCAAGAGACCAGACCAAACCAAAATGGAGTCGCTCATGCTGGGTGCCATGAAATCAAACTGAGCTTAGAAACCAGATGCATTTTCAAAGAATGGGAGATTCCCAGCAACCAAGCAGAAAAAGCCCCATGACCCAGAACCAGCAGGATGAGGACGTCCCCTCTGCTTTGACTCCGTAAGGAAAGTAACTTTGAGACCGCCCCTCCATGTCTGCGCCCTTCTGTAACCTTTTCCGCTCAGCTGAGGGGCCTTTCCGTTCTGGGGATGGGCTGTTGCCTGATTCACGAATGGCTAATAAAAACCAGTCCGATCCTTAAAACTCAACTTGAAGTTCTGTTCTTTGACTGGGGTGACACGGTACCTTCTAGCCCCCACAGGAGGTGTTCACGAAGCATAGATAGGGGTGTTCGCACATCACAATTAAAATGGAAGAGAATAGTCACAGCCGTGCTTTTCCGTTTTTGAATAAGTGATCCTCGCATACTGTTCTAAAGTGTAAAGGTCCAAACACTCTCTCCCCAGACCCCGACTTTCTGTATCAAGTTCTCTTGCACACATAGACCTTCCCCACGTGTAAACGATCACAAATGTCACACACATGCTGCTGGGTACACACTGCTCCATGCTTGGCTTTTTAAATAACATCTTTTAGAATTTGTTTCCTTTCTGGACATAAAGAATTCCTCCTCCTCTTTATCCAGCTGTGCAGTATTCTATTCTATCCTATTCAAGTATTGTAACACATTTAACTGGGTCCCTATGGGTAGAAGTTCAGTGTTTTCTAACCTTTTGCTTTTGCAAACAATGCCATTATGATCCATGTCACTTTCTGCACACACGGGAGGGTATCTGAAGACAAGCTCCTAGGAGTGGACTTGCTGGATCAAAGGGTACACGAATGCCATGTTTTCTTACCTCATCTTTTTTTTTGGGGGGGGGGTGATAGAGTCTCACTCTTTCACCCTGGGTAGAGTGATGTGGTGCCATAGCTCACAGCAACCTCAAACTCCTGGGTTCAAGCCATCCTCTTGCCTCAGCCTCCCAAGTAGCTGGGACTACAGGTGCCCACCCCCACAACACCCAGCTAATTTTTCTATTTTTTTTAAGGAGAGATAGGGTCCTTTTATTGATCAGGTTGGTCTCAAACTCCTGAGCTCAGTCAATCTACCTGCCTTTGCCTCCCAGAGAGCTAGGATTACAGGTGTAACCTACAGCGCCCGGTAACATGACCCATTTAAAGTACTCAGTTCAGTGAGTTTTGACAAAAGTAACCGGTTATCTAACAGATAATACAGCTATGTAGCCACCACTACAATCAAAATGGCAAACATTCCCATCTCCGCCAAGGTTCCTTGTAGCATGTGAGACAAAGCACATTTTGGCACTATAAATAAACTTTGCCTTTTTTTTTTTTAATTTCACGCACACGAACTTTTTGGTGTAGTCTGTTGGCCTATGGCTAAAAAAGCCTAAAAAGTTTTTATTGGGTCCACTCATATTAGAGTGTATATGTAACTGATTTGATATTTTTTGTCTCCGAGCACCATTCTGTCTTATGGATACGTGAACACTCTTCATCCGCGGATGGGTGTTTGGGTTGTTTACAGTTTCAGCTACTCTAATAAAGTTGCCGTGAACAACTTGTTTTTTCTGTTATTTGCATCTGTCACTTTGACAGCTGCCAGACTGCCCTCCATAAATGCCATGCCGGTGGGCAACTCCCCTGACCATGACGACAGCCAGCCCATTTACCCTGCTCTCGCCAGCATGGCACGCTACCCAGTTTTTGGTTCCTGGACAATCAAAGGTAGAGAATGGAGCCCAGCTATAGTTTTAATTCTCATGTCGCTTACCAGGAATGAGATTGAGCATAAGACTAACAGCCCAGCTCTGATTTATAAGCACAATTTTGTTTAGGGTCCTAGCAGACGAGACCCCAGATTGGGAGGCGCTGGACTAGACAGAGGGCCCTGCCCTCCCCACTCCCTCATAAGATCAGCTGTCCTCCAAGAATAGCCTACACAGAATTCCTGGTTGTTTTTCTGCCTCTTTCCATGGCAGCTTCATGCTTTTGGCTACCCTGGAAGTGAACTTTTGAGATGTGTATCAG